AGGACATGTTTGGTTCACTTATTTTTGTCGTGGCCATGACATATTAACTCGTGGGGATGTAATAAACTGTCGTGGCCACGAGATCATTTTGTCGAGGTAACGACATCCTTATGTCGTGGCTACGCGATGTGAAGTCGGGAACAAAATCCATTTCTCAAGGCCACGACTTCTTATGCTGAGGGAACGACATATTTTTCTCATGGCCACGAGTTTAATGCGTAAACAAACCTGCGTGACCATAGCAGCCTGCGATCATCAGAGATGAATTTGTTAATATTTTATTTAGAATTAAGAAATTATATTCATTATTACAGAAATTATATAATTATATGAAATGATTATATTAACCTAGGCTACCGGACTGTATTGCGTGCAATGTAGACAGCATTCGAATGAATTCATCATGAATAAATGTTACATAAAATACACAAGATAAAATAGGCGTACAAGAAAACATTTTTATCCATGCCACAGTCTCCATTAACTGATAGTCTTTTTCCGTAATATAATTATTAATAAATATAATTGTATATAATAATTATTATTATAGTTGTATTTTCTGAATAGTTTTGTAAATAATTGCCTATTGTAAATGCTCGACATGTCAGTAAAGCTTTGATTATGCTGTATAACTGGAATTTGTACTGGAAGTACAGTTTAAAGGTTGAATTTAACATATTTCATTGTATTTTGGCTAATCAATAGACTATAATTTAGTTGAGAAATGAATTTGTAAATGAAAACAACACGCTCATTTATCGTCACGCACTGTGTCACGAATCCGGTCTATGAACTTCCGTCTGCTTGCCACCAGAGGTCACCCTTCCACTACTATGGACTCTTGCACCACACCACTGTTGCACTTCACCCGGACTACAGTTCCCATCATCCATTGCACTGATTACACACACACAGTTGATTGCACACAGCACTGATTGCACACAGCTGTCATCAATCACACCTTCCCTATATAACACTCACTCTGATCCCCGTCAAGCTGCCGAGTATTGTTTAGCGCATATCACTCTTCTAGCGATAGATGCATTACGGAGCCCTTCCTAGTTCCCAGTTTTAGTATTAGTCTAGCCACTTCGTGTTGCCTTGTTGTCTGTTTCCTGACCTTCTGCCTGTGTTTATTGGATTACCCCTCTTGTCAAGCCCTCTGGATTCTGTTCGCCGATCGAAGACCCACGCTAGCCCTAGGAATACTCTTGTGTCTTGCCCTCTACATATCTGTTTGCTGGTGTTCAACCCTGCCTGTTTCTGACCATGTCTTTGAATAAAGCCTTGCATTTGGATCTGCACGTCTCACGTCTCGTTCGCCCCGTAACACACTGGCACAATCATAAAGACAAAACTTTTTTGGCATAACTGTCAGGCATTTACAGTATTTGCTAAATATATGGTAGCATATTACTAATTATACAGAATGTTAATTAGCCTAGGTAAAGCGATAAAATTGAAAGGGGAAATACAACAATAAATATAAAAATATCCCTAAACCAGTTAATATAATAATATTATTATAATGTTATTATATTACAGTTTAATAATACATATATAATATACAAATATTAAATAAAAAGACACGATCAGTTAACGCATTTACAAGACTGTGGGACGGAATAATATGTTTTATTCATCTCTGATGATCGCTGATTGCTATGGTCACACAGGTTTGTTTATGCTTTAAACTCGTGGCCATGAGACAAATATGTCATTCCCTCAACATAAGTCGTGACCACGAGAAATGGATTTTGTTCCTTCAAAATAGGATCTCGAGGCCACGACTTCACATCGCGTGGCACGACAGTTTATCAAGTTCCCACGAGTTATCTTTATTAACAAACCGCATATTTGAAGTCTAAACAACTACATTCTCGCCTAAAGGTTTGAGTAAATGATTGCAGAATTCTCATATTTTGGGTGGCTATTCACAGTTATGATTAATCTTCCAATTGATTAATTAATTATAGCATAGATAGTGAGACTTAAAAATGTGTAACTTCTAGTTCAGTCACTTTTTTGTGAATCCTGCAAATGTGCATTCAGAATGGGAAATTGTGACACGTAATGATGTGATTTGCTCATTGAGAACATGAGACCGGCCTGTGTTCAGAGTGAGAAGAGACATGAGTCACGGGCAGATGGGAGATCTCTCTCTGTGTGTGTGTGTGTGGGCAGAGCGATCAGACGGACATGCTAATTAGTTCATGACACACTCACCCCACTGTGCATGTGAATAACATGTGAAGCCCAAAGCCAACAGACCGACTGATAACACACAAATTCCAGCACAAAACAGACTATCACTGCCTTCAACACACACACACACACACACACATACGTTTGTTTCTGTGAAAAGTGGGGACATCCCATAGGCGTAATGGTTTTTCTACTGTACAGACCGTATATGCAATAGAGCCCTACACCAACCCTACCCCTAAACCTACCCCTCACAGGAGACTTTCTGCTATTTCAGATTTTCAATACACTCCATTCTGTGTGATTTATAAGCGTTTTGAAAAGTGGGGACATGGGGTAATGTCCTGAAAAGTCACCTTCTCCTTGTAATACCTGTCATTCCCTTGTCATTATACAAATTGATGTCCTCATTTGTCACAAAAACGCGCGCGCGCACACACACACTCACTCACACACACATTCACACACACACACGCGCACACACACACACACACTCAAACTGAGAGAAAACATGCAATTTGCTGCAGAAGCTGATATTTATATGATGAAATTCTGATGCTTGTAATGTAAATCAATGAGATCTTTCTAACAGTAGAGCAGATACTGACATAAAATTATCTAAATCTCAGTCGTTGCTCTATATCTCCAGTAATCTGTCTCAGTAAAATGAGATTGAAATGCTCCGAACATATAATGCAGTGATAGAGAGCTGAAGAAATAAAGGTTCCTCAGAAGATGTGAGATGTTCTGGAGGCTTGTGAAGATCATTCCTCCGCTGAGGAACAGTGAAAGTAAAGCTTCTGGAAACAAACGCTCCTCAAAAGATCCTGAGGATCAGATTTGAGACTCTTAAACATGATTGATGGAGAATCAAGTAAAGCTGAGCTGCTTCAAGTCGAGAGAGCTCGAGCATAAGTTTCCGAACATAGCTATTGTCTTCTGTACTTTCTTGTTCTCGCTCACACATGCACCAGACTAGATGAAGTTTGTTGATGAGCATTTTATCTAACAGCGGGCAGGAGAACCCATCATGAGTCAGTGCAGATGTGAGTGTGAGTGTGTGAGGACATTCAACCACACATCAGTGTGTCAGAGTTCAGAAACACAATCAAACAATGTGTCAAAAATATGTGTGTGTATTTGTATATATGTAAAATGCATTTTTTTCTCTATTTGAAATGAAATACAACATGGATGTGAACTTAACAGATTTTACACAGAGTAAAAAGAAACTATTAACGTATTGAGATACTATGTTTATATTTATATATTTTTATTTATATATATGTTTGAGTAATTTTGTTATTAATTAATCATTTTTACGAGTTTTTTCTCCATATGTCTATTTATATGTCTTATTCATTTTAGTACATGAAGTTAAACTAAATGAAAATGAGAAATGTCTCCTTGGCTGAGATAAAATAAGTTAAATTTTTTTTGTATATTTTATTTTATTTCAGTCAAAGTTTATTTTATTTCAAGTAAAGAAAATGTTTATTATTGTTGTTGTGTTTTTACTTTTTTGGGTACATCAGGTTAAACTAAATGAAAACAAGAAATGTTGCCATTTTATTTAAGTTTAAGAAAAGTATTTCACAGATGTCTTTGTAGTTTTACTGTAGGCTGAGTTAACTATAACAACCCTGTTTCTGCCAAAAATAAATATTCTGCCATCCAGAATCCATTCAGCTATTTTAAGACCCTCAGCTGTAAAATTAGAGGCGGAAAGTAGCACTCCACACGCTCTATACTTACATAATAAAATCATTTGCACGCACATCAGTATTTCATATTGATTTATTAGGTCAGGATATGTAATAAGCGAGATACAGTCAGTCGTGGTCTGGGTTTATTTAGTGATATTGACAGCCCAACTGTGAACTGTAAGAGTTATGTAGCACACAGTGCTTGCTGTCAATGCCAATGTGTTTTATGTTCATCTATCACCTCCACCAACACAAAACTCCACAGTGCATCTCTCAGAAAAGTATATTTGTTTATGCACTGTAAAAAAATAAGTTGCTGCCTTCAATTTTAAAAAGTACAATCAAGTCATTTCAACTTAAATTACATTAAACTGGTTTTAAAAAAAAAGAGTAGAATTGAACAACTTATAAATTAAAGTTGAAAATTGCTTAACTTATTTCGATGAGCTGAAGTAATGTAAAAACACATGTTGTCATAACTTATTGGTCATATAATTTTTCACAGTTTGGTCACTCAAATAAATGTCAATGACATATAGCCATCAATTACATTATTCTGATCCCTTAGACTTAACCTCTATGTAATAAACATGACATATAAGTATAAATATTTGTGCGTGTGAGTATATGCATTACAGTACGACAACGGTGGGCAAAATGAGGAAATGTCAAAAAGCAAAAAAAAAAAAAAGCATAAATCATATCATATAGCTGATGGATTATATATATTTATTTTTGTTTTATAGCATTGAGAATTTGGTGGAAAAAATCTAAAATATAAATCACAATGCAAAAAAAAATTTAATGGTCCTAAAACATCCATCATTTAATTTTCTTAATGCAAAATGTAATTTATTTTTCCTTTTTATTTTGAAGTGAAATATGGCCCTGATGTGATCTTGACAGTTTTCATGAGATTTTTTTCATTCGACACTAATTTTCCAGGACTGTCACTAACGATTATTTCGGTAATCGCGTAATCGGTCGATTATTCTGACGATTAATCGAGTATTCGGATAATTATGAATGCAAAAAAAAATTTAATGGTCCTAAAACATCCATCATTTAATTTTCTTAATGCAAAATGTAATTTTGAAGTGAAATATGGCCCTGATGTGATCTTGACAGTTTTCATGAGATTTTTTTCATTCGACACTAATTTTCCAGGACTGTCACTAACGATTATTTCGGTAATCGCGTAATCGGTCGATTATTCTGACGATTAATCGAGTATTCGGATAATTATGATTTTTTTTTTTGTGGTAATTAGAACAGACCTTAAAATCGAGTACTCGAATTGAATCGAGGAATCGTGACAGCTCTATAATTTCCCCCTGATTTTTCTGAGATGTTGAGTATTAATTCGCATTAAAGCAACATGTCCTTAGTTTTGTCTTACCTAATGAAAAGAACACAGTGCATACTAAAATATAAACAAGTGTCAAATAAATCAAAATGGTAAATATTAAAGTCAAACTCCTGTTGTTCATTCATCCTACGAACACATGGTTGTACTGTCCGGTGTTTTCAGAGCGGTTCTCCCCGGCTTTCTCCACAAGCTCTGGGAAATGCGGCTGGACGCAGGAGTTGACGGCCTCGGACAGGTCACCGGGCAAAGACCACATCTTCTTGGCGTGTTCGGCCACGGCGTCTTTATTCAGCTGCACACAGAAGAGCAGCAGTCAGTGACACCAGTGAACATCTAAAGACGAACCTCACAACAACAGCGTGTAACTACAGAACATAAGCAGTCACTACAGTGTCGCTATATTAATATTATTATTAACAGCTACAGTGCTAACAGTGGTTCTAGGTTTCTATGCAGTTGCTAGAGTGTTTCTAGAGGTTGCATGTGTGTCCTTATTTCATCTCACCCTCATGTTGTTTCTTCTGTTGGAAACAAAAGAAGACGGGAAACAAACAGTTGCCGGTCGCCATTGAGTTACATAGTAGCAACTGTTTGGTTACCTGCATTCTTCATTTTGGGTTGAACAGAAGAGAGAAACTCATACAGGTTTAGAACAACATGAGGGAGTGTAAATGATGGCAGAATTCTCCCAAAAGTCTGACCACTTAGCAAAGTAACAATATATTCCTAAATACCTAAATTCGTATAAAATTTGTTTGAAATCAGAAATCTTATTTGAAAATGTATTTGAACTTTACATATTTATGATTTGATTAATTATTAAAAGTGTTTTATTTTGATAGTTTTGTTTTAAAATGATTTATAAATTAATTTTACATTTTTATGATTAGTAATTGTATAATTTTGATTGTTTTTATTTTTAAAATTACTAATTTATTTTAATTTTATATATTTTTTATTTAATTAATTATTAGCTTTTCATCAACTCAATGAAATACAAATATTTTGAAACATTTAATTATTATGTATTTGAGTGTTTTATTTGGGATTGTTTATTATTTTTATATTATTTATTTATTATTATTAATTTATTTATATTATTAATTCATTATTTGAAAGTTTTTGCTTAAATTTTTACTGTTATATATATTTTTTTTAATTATTAATTTATTTTAATTTATTTTTAATTTTACATTTTTATTATTTAATTATCAATTAGCTTTTTGATCAACTCAGCCAAATGGAAATAGAAATATTTTGCAACCTTAAACATGTTTACACTTTTGATAAAATGAATGCATCCTTGCTGAATAATATTATTAATATCTACAGCTGCAAAGTGGTTTTAAGTGCTTTTAGTGTGCTGCTATGGAGTTTCTAGGGTGTTGCTATGTGGTTGCTAGGGCCATCCTTAAAGTCATAAATACTAGTTCAAATTCTGACATTATCACACAAAACTGTGGAGAGCTGATGACTGTGAGTTGAAACACTCTGAAGACAGATGGTTTATCTGAAGTGACACGAGCAGCTCTGAGAGATTTGAGTGCTTGATTTAAAAACTCTGGTCTGTTCCTGTCATACAGAAACTCACGTCAGCAAGAGTCGGAGACCAAAGCATGTCAAACTAAAATACTTCTGCATGATAAAAACTGTTACTACAGCTTACAGCACATCTGGTCCTATAGCAACATTAACAGTAATATGCATTGATAAAGATATCAGTCAAATTGAGCTTATGATTCAGTTGCTGAATTCTCTTCCAGTTATTACAGTTTTCACAACATTATTAAGTTCAAAAATGTCCTTCCTGAACTGAAGAGTAATGAATAGGCCAAATCTGACTTAATGAAAAACTTTCATTATCTGACGCATTTCTGATTAAAACCCAATATTCAGTGGGAATAGGGAGATAAAGTTATTTTGATGGTTTTAATAAAGTCTGGTTATGATAAAATCCCCTTTATGTAATTATAATAAAGACCCCAAAAGTTTGTTTTTTAAAGAAGTCCTTCTGCTCATCAAGCCTGCATTTATTAGATAAAAAAATACAGTAAAAACAGTAATATTGTGAAATATTATTACAATTTAAAATCACTGTTTTCTATGTGAATATGTGTTAAACTGTAATGTATTTCTGTGATGCGCAGCTGTATTTTCAGCATCATTCCTCCAGTCTTCAGTGTCACATGATCTTCAGAAATCAGTATAATATGCTGATCTGCTGCTCGAGAAACATTTATTATTATTATCAATGCTGAAAACATGCTGCTTAATATTTTTGTGGAAACCGTGATACATTTGATTTTTTTTAGGATTCTTTGATGAATAGAAATTTCAAAAGGGAAACATTTATTTAAAACAGAAATATTTTGTAACATTTTAAATGTTTACATTTAAATGATTTAATTTAACAGTTTTGCACTCAATTCATGATTAGTAGTTTTATTTTGATTGTTTTTATTTAAAAATTAATTTATTTTAATTTAAATTTTTGGTATTAATTATTAGGTTTTCATAAACTCAGTGAGATTTTTTGCAACATTATAAATGTCTTTACTGTCACGTTTGATCAATTTATTTAATGCATCATTGCTGAATAAAATTATTTCTTAAATTTATTTATTTTAATTTGACATTTTTATGATTTAGTTAACTATTAGTGTTTTAGTTTGTTATTATTTAAAAAATATTTTAAATTTACATTTATATGATTAAATTATTAGTGTTTTATTTTGTTTTAAAATTATTTGTTTTAATTTGACATTTGTATGATTTAATTAATGATTAGTATTAGATGTTTTATTTTAATTTATTTTGAGTTTTTATTTTTAAATGATTCATTTATTTTTGCATTTTTATGATTTAATTAATTACTACCTTTTCATCAAGTCAATGAAATGTTTTGTAATTATTTTTATAAATTTTTAATCAATTTACTGCATCTTTGCTGAATAAAATTAAATTTTTGAATGGTTGTGTGTAATGCGCACTGATGAATCGTTCACAATCAGACAGGAGCATGTTGTAGGACACGAAAAGTGTCCGTATGTACCTGACTGATCAGATCTCTGATGCTGGCCAGCGTAACGGCCTGTTTCTTCTTCAGACTCTGTCCCTGCGGTGAACCATCAGCGCTGCTGTTATTAGCCGACTGAAAGAGTGTGATATTACATGCATTATCAGCACACACACACACACACACACACACACACACACACAGACACTCACACAGACACAGACACTCACACACACTCTCTCTCACACACACACACTCACTCACACACTCACACTCACTCTCACACTCACACACACACACACAGACACAGACACAGACACACTCACACACACACACACTCTCTCACACACACACAGACACAGACACACTCACACAGACACAGACACAGACACAGACACACTCACACAGACACAGACACAGACACAGACAGACACACACACACACACACACACACAGACACTCACACAGACACAGACACTCACACACACTCTCTCTCACTCACACACACACACACACGTGTTCTGCCAGCAACATCACATGGTCATACGATTGCACACCTTCAAGTCATGTGCACTTACATACTACATGTTCTCAAGTGTAGCGCATATGCATTAATATGCATGCAACAGTGTTCAACAGACGTGTTGCATTGCTCTCCAGGTCATGTGCATGAACGTGTGTGTTTGAGTGTCAGTGAGACAAAGAGAGAAAACAGAGTCCATGTGCAGCTATTGTTCACACATCACGTTGAGCTGACAGACTCCACACTCTCCGTGCAGCTGCTGAACATCTTTCAGTTCTCAAGCTCAATTACTGTGGAAAAGATAAACTTCTGTGACCTTTAACTTTAACTTGAGGTGGTTTGTGCATCAAACCAAAGCCCCTTCCTAGGCTATGAATCTGAGTAGCCTAGTGAGCTGCCTTCAAAGAAAACATCCTGATGGGAAAGAAACCTCATAAATTATTGCACAAGAAGTATAAATTAAAGCACACAAAACTCAACTTACAATTGGTTCGTACAGAACAGGGATTCCCAAACTTTTTTGTCCCCTTTGACCTAAAATATTTACTTGAAGTCCCCCTGAGATCTTAAATTAATATTTTAGTTAATTTTAGTTAATTTCAGATGTTCACTTTTCTGATGTTGGTTACATGATGGTCACATAAACATGCAGGTAAATAAATAAATAAATCATTTAATCAAACAAATAAATTAGTATCTTTTTAATAAGTGTGTTATTTTGATTGTTTTTATTTGAAAACTATTTATTTAAAAATTAATTTATATTTTTATGATTTAATTAATTATTAGCAAGTGTTTTTAATTTTAAAAGTATATATTTATTTAAATTTCACATTTTATGATTTAATTCATTGTTAGTAATGTCTTTTTATTTTAATTATTTTTTTATTTTTTTAATGTATTTAATTTTTTTATGATTTAATTAATTATTAGTAGGTGCATTATATTGATTGTTTTTAAAAATTATTTATCTTAATTTTACATTTTATGATTTATTAATTATTAGTATTTCATTCAAATTTTGTTTCATTTTAAAATTATGCATTTATTTGAATTTTACATTTTTATGATTTAATTATTAATGATTAATTTTGATTGTTTTTATTTTTAATTTATTTGAATGTGTTTTATTTTATAATAGTTTTTGTTTTAAATTGATATTTTTTTGTTCAGTTTTGATTTAAATAATTATTAGTAAGTGATTTATTTTTGTTATTATTATTTTTTACATTTTTTTTGTAATTATTACCTTTTTTATCAACCCCTAATCTAAACACATTTACGTTTGCGTTCAAATAAACCCACGTAGAGTATATTCTGAGTCTCTGGCTTTATAAATACATCTGTAAACACTTTCTGTGATCTTTACGTCTTAAACTTTAATGACATTCTGCCAGTGGAGGTGTGGAATCGATGGATAGTGAAAGAAATAAAGAAGTGAATGAATTTGGATGAGCTGCATGTGAACAGAAGTGAGTGAGTCATAATAACGCACATGTTTCCATCGCTCACCTGCTGTAAACATCATGAGAGAGAGAGAGAGAGACGGAGAGAGAGAGAGAGACTCTGAGAGAGAGAGAGAGAGACGGAGAGAGAGAGAGAGACGGAGAGAGAGAGAGAAACTCAGAGAGAGAGAGAGAGAGAAACTCAGAGAGAGAGAGAGACGGAGAGAGAGAGAAACTCAGAGAGAGAGAGAGACGGAGAGAAAGAGAGAGAGAGAGACTCAGAGAGAGAGAGAGAGAGAGAGACGGAGAGAGAGAGACGGAGAGAGAGAGAGAAACTCAGAGAGAGAGAGAGAGACTCAGAGAGAGAGAGAGACGGAGAGAGAGAGAGAGAGAGAGACTCAGAGAGAGAGAGACTCAGAGAGAGAGAGAGACGGAGAGAAAGAGAGAGAGAGACTCAGAGAGAGAGAGAGACTCTGAGAGAGAGAGAGAGAG